TTCCGCGCAGACGTCGATGATCGATTTGATAATCATATCATCTGACTTAGGACCCCGTATATAAAATGTTCAGGTGAAAAGAGGGGCAGGGCTGTCCTTTGATCATGGCACCCTTCGCTGTAAGCGATGGAATACCAGGCGGATGGAATTCCTTGCGACAGGACCACGTCGACACACTCTACTCCAGACTGGAGTTGTTTTCTGCCGAAACTCAAACGGTGGAGAGTATCAAAAACCCTGGGAAAATTGTGTAATGCGCCTTCCTCCGCGAATCGAAAACTAGGGGATCATCGAAATTGACTGGCTGATTGATTGACGGCTGCATTATGTTGCAGCACCCTTGGTGACTGATGTACCCGGTGTCTTTCATTCGTTTCCGGGGTATTTCAAAGCATGAACGAAATCCGACTACTTTGGCAAATGAAAAACATACAAGAAAACAACTAGTCTAGGAACAACATCCCCGCAATATTGAATGAGGGAATATCAGTTGAATTTGTAGACTGTCCGCAGGTTCATAGTGGGGTGGGGTGGGGGGGCACCAAACAACGCACATTTGAGCAACTCGTAGCTACGGGTTTCGTTACAAACGAAATAGCATCATCGGCACTGACGGTAGTAGACTACTAATGTTTGTGTTGTTTTGCGCCTTAAACCATGAATCGGTGAGCAACTTACAAATTCAGCAAATAGTCCAGAAGTGGAAGCGTTATGTCATATTACAAAATATCACCGATTTACCATTGTGCAGACATTCACGAATTCCAGTTCTGTTATTTGTCCATCACCATCCATATCGAGCCTCTGAAAGAAACGAACGATCAGCAAGCGTTTGAGAATGGTCGTCTGACGCGGGAGGCAATGAGTCTGACCTGACCACCTACCTGAAACACGTGCTTGGCATGGGCGAAGGTCAGCAGCTTGTTCTTCTCGTCAGACAGGTCGAAGCCGTTCAGCTCGTAGACGGCGCGGATCACCATCCACAGTTCAGAGAAGGAGATTTTGTTGTTCTTGTGGATGTCGTACAGACGAAAAACCCATTTCAGCTTGTCGCGGATGTCGGCACTGCCGAGCATGCTCACGGAGGATATGACTTTCTAAATCGACGAAGATCTATCGTTCATTCTCGACAGCAGTGCAATCAGTGTGCTACCGAAATCTGGATCATGTCTTTGTTCAGCGTCCCATCAAACGAGTTAAACATGTAATCAGCGTACGCGAATGTCACTACAAAATTTTCCATTATACTCCATTTGCTGAGGTAAAAAGCACAATCGGCCAACATCGATCCGGAAATGACTGCTTGTTACTCTACGCAGCAGTTAGACGCATCGACGTTTCTGCTGCTAGATCGTACTTCCAACGAATTAATGTTTATGAAATTTTGGCATATTAAATGGCATTGTCCGAGATTCAGCTTAATGGCTTGGAATAGGTGGTACAAGCGTGCGTATGGCAGGGGAGAGGTTCCGTTCGCTTTGACAATGAGTAATTTTACCGTGCTTCAATAGCAGATCGATGCAAATGGTTGGTACTCTCCACATCGTCTCATCTGAATTTATACTAAGGGCAAGCATGTACTCTTTGCCCAAATAGATTTTCCTCAAAACCACGAACAGGTTTGTCAGTCACTCAACCGTTATATCGTCAGCACACTATTTCAGATTTCATGCCAAAACCACTCGCCATTCTATTTGTTTCAGCGATGCTTTCTAACTCTGGCGAGTTCCACCTCCCCCAAGGTGAAATTGCCCTGGTCGGATGTGCCAACAGCTACTTTTTGTCTCAGGAACCATAACAGCAGATTTTAATTGACGTTACTGTAATGAAAGACGCTAGCATGTGCTCATCCTATGGCCCGTTCTGACCCTTAACGCTGAATATTCAATTACTGTCATTAAACAGGACTAAATGTTGCATACGAAAACAGCAATCACAGTATGAATTTCAAAGAATATGGTACCACTTTACACGAAATACAAGACCAAAATGATACCCGGGTAAGAAAGGAGCGAAATGTAGCTTATTCTGTGAACCTGACGGTAAAGCTTAAGAGCGGTGCTGAATAGCGTTGTTATGACAACTATCATTATCCCTTGATTGACGGCCTCAATCGTGTTGCTGATCCCTGCATTCCACCCTGAGAATCATATTCACCACAAATTTCCCACACTCCGTCTTCCATCCTTTGTTTCCGTACACTGCCGGATTACATGAGAACTTAAACTTCAGCTATGACATTCTCACCAATTGTCAAATTGTCGCCTCCGTTCCGGTGCCATGAGGGAATCGAGACGAAACTTGCCGGCGGTACCAAAAGTGTTAAATTCAGTAGATACGTTCGTCATCGCCAATATTTCTAATACAGAGATATGGTCCCTTTTATAGTGTTCCAAACAGTCAAGAGCCAATGAGTGCCCAGAACTGGGCTGCCCATTCCTGATCGTCCACAAATTGAATAAGCAGACGTCAGGTGCAGGCGGCCCCTTCCTTGTCTTGGCCCGTAAGCGAATTAGCCTCGATATTTGCTGTCGTTTCTTCGCTGTCGCGTCGTCATCGTCACGATGGGACGAACAGGTGATGTATCTGTGATGTTCACCAGTCAGACTCTTCTTCAACTCAAATGGCCGCCATGCACAGAGATTTAAGGGCCTGTCAAAACTGCAACGGCGGATAGGGGTCATTTCTTCTGATGAACGTATCAGCGTGCAGAAACGCGTATGATAATTGATATTTAACATCGTCCTGAAGTTTTTGTTTGCTCTGAACAACGAAGTTGGAGGAAAAAATTGCGCTGCAAAACTGATAACCTCATTGATAGGAAATCCACATTCCATCGTGCGGCTTCGACTATTCCACAATTACAGAAACCGATTCGAGTTTGATGCCTACGGTAGCTAACGCGCGAAAGCGGGAGATGCAATCACAGATCGAAAACAAAATGAACTGAATTGGTTGGCATTATGTGAACGAATATCTCCAAACGAATGGTTGAGTGATTGGAGAAAGATACGGAAAAATATGAGGTCTTTTTATGCATCGCATGCTGAATCTTGATTGGACGAGAAGAAAATATTTCATATCACGAGTTGAACGCAGTGTAGAGCACAGAAACACTGACAGGAAATGGCGAAAAGTGTGGCATGAACGAACTCTGAGGCATCGGCTTAAGGAGAAGACGGCCATCTGGAGAACAAGGGTAGTCGCTTTCATGGCTAGCATCTACAGAAGAAACATTCTCTGACCAGAAGGGGCTTAGAAAACTCGGATCCGCTGTCCGTGTCATGAAAAAATCTGTTCACAAGGGTTAATTAGATTACTGTGGATCGCCATGTGATGACCTCTGCTGTAACCGTTGCTGGACGCAACTGTTGTGTCGCATGTCATTGCATTGCAGTTATGCTCCATAAGGGATCGATCAATGACATTGGCATCGTTCGTCTCGATATTTTGAGGAATCCGGTCGAGAGTCGGTTTTGACAATTGGGCGGCTGTCGTTCGTTTAGCGTATTCAAATTCTCTTTCAAATCTTAGGGATTAAGCACAGCTACACTTTTCTGATGTTCTTAGTACGGCTTCCCATGGTTATTCGTGTCATTGACGATTGTTATAATCCTTAGGTAAGTCACAAACGGGGAGACAACGCATAAAATGGTCATTAATTAGGGACATCTGACGTTTCGGACTAAGCTCGGTCCGTCTTCAGAGTACTTAAGAGTTTTGAGCTTAGTCCGAAACGTCAGATGCCCTTAATTAAAGAACATTTTATGCGTTTTCTTCCTCTTTGTGACTTACCCAAAGGTTATATCACCTCCTGCATAGAAAAATCATGTATGTTTTTTTAATACTAACGACTGTTTTGCTAATCAAGCATTGCATTCCATGCTCCACATCCAAAGGCATCAGAAGATGGATGTGCCTGTTGAAAACCCTTGGTCTACACGATGAGGAAACCTCCGCCTCTAGGCTTGCTGAACGCGAACCGCTGCAAGAGTATTATCGATGTACATCGCTTGCCCGGGATATTCCGAACTCCAGTACCAGGTCCGCTGGTTTGTCATTTAAATATATTCGAATTCTTCTGCCAGTTTGCTTCTCGCACGTGAATTTATATTCTGATCTTCTTTCACATGCACAAGTTCCGTTGGGCAGCACTTGAAGCGTTGTCGAATGGTCTGATGTGGGGATTACGATATCGGGAACTTTGCATCTGGAGCAGTTTTTTCTTTGCAGGACCCGTAGTCCCCTTCGAGGTTTTTTTAAATACTCTACTCTGCACAGGAAAAGATCTTTAGCAAACAGATGTCTCTTTATCTGACACCTCAATTGCCCTCACTATCCGCAATGGGCTAATGCAAAGAACGCAGATTTTATGTAAACTTTGATCAGAAGAGTTTTGGATTACGTCGAAGTAAACAGAGTGTTCGGATTACCATGACTCTCCTTGATCAAATGCCTTCTTGAGGTGGATGAAGAACAGGCATTCGACAAGATGTGGGAAACCATGAAAATGTCATCATTCCTAGAGAATCTTCTACAGACGTCGGTTTGCTCCATCTTCTTGTTCTCGTCAAAATACTGAAGAAACGCTTGCGTACAAATGGAAGCAAGGATAAATAGGGGGATAGTGTTTGATGCTTTTCAAATGGCTACTGTGTCAAGCCCATGCATGATCCATTTTAATACTCCATTTTCATTGATTTATGATCGTTTAAAAGTTAATGATGAGGGTCCATGAAAGAAAAAATTTGCATTGAGCCGATTTGGGATGATGTATAATTTAGCATGAATCTGCTACCTGTAAAGAACCAATCAGACTTTACTGGATCGACAGATGCTAATGGATATTCAAGTTTCATAGATGACCAATGGCGGCCAGTGCATCGTACGGTTATGGACGCTAACTCGAGATCTTTTTGCAATAAAACATATTTCCCTCGTCTATCCAACATTCCAAATATTCAAGTGGGCATCGATGAGATGGGTAAGCATAGGCATCCTAGCAATCTACTGTTTCGTAAAGCAACTAAAGACGATAAACAGAAAAATTCCTAAGGACATTCGTCGAAAATCCATCGCAAAATTTGGCAAGAACTGCCAAATGAAATTTAAAGTACGTACCTGCTTTGGGAAACACTTGGCTGAATATCACATGAAACTGTTCCCTGGTCAGCAGACGATCTGGAAAAACCTGAAAGTCGTAAGCACATAAGAAACTTCTGCATGACGTCATTAATGATGCCGCCCACCTGCTTCAAGAATTGATACCACAACCGCAGCTGCGTTTTGGTGAAGTTAGATTTGAACAGTAACATATCCAAATCGTCGATGGGGTCCATTTTTCTCAAAACTATAATTGTAAAATATTATTTACATTTCCAATATCATTT